ACACATCCCAAGATTCCTTCTTGGATGCTAAAGATTTGGTTTTTGGAGAATTTAGACACTTGAAAGAGATGGGTGGGCTGGATTTTGGCGACGATGTCGTTTTGGAACCATGTAAGCTTTTGCTAAAATTCCAGAGAGAAAATAAGCAAGTCAGTGTGGAATCTTCATCTGCTCTCAACCGTAGCCAACACCGTTTCCATTATAGAAAGCCTCAGTTGGCATTGGTTAGTGAAAACAATTCTTTCAGTTTTCTAAGTTCAATGGATGAATTTAGGCCAGCTTTTGTTATTGGATCTTTTTTCTCCATTCTGCTATTTATGATTTTTCCCCCAACTTTTTTACCTGAAGATTTTTGCTGATCTATTGGTTGACCCACAACAATTGCTAATGGTGACCATTGCAAATGCGTTAGAGAGATTGGTTATGAAATTCAGGTAAATAACACTGAGTGTTGGTTTAATTGTTTCCCCTTTTAGTTTAATAGTATAATTCTGGATGTTAAAGCCTATAGGATACTACATAGCTTTCACTTGTTACTTAGTGCTTAACACAATCTTAATGTGTGTTAATTTTTTTTCCTACTCTCTTGAAGATGGTCCCGTGCACAGTGTATGGCAAAATATTGGAGTTCCAGTCACCATTCTTAAAGTTGATTCCGATGAGATTGGTGTCGATTGGCTCAAGTAAGTAGGTTTTGCTCGTCATCTCAGTTAAGTAATCTTTGGGTATCTAATTATGGTATGTGGTGTATCAATCTGCAGCTATGATGGCATACTTGTTAGCTCTCTTGAGGCCAAGAGTGTTGTTTCTAGGTAATTCTATTTCCTCTGCGAGAAAAACTTCCTAGTACCAAATCTTTCTTATGTTTTCCCCTTTCCCTGTTTTCTTCTCTTCCGGTCTTCCCGGTAGACTTAGTAGTTTTCCCGGTGAAGAAGATCTTTTTGTTGTAGCTGCAAACAAACTGCAATTGTTTCTAAGCACAAGTTTGAATTTTGGCGGCTGTTAAGATAAAATACTTGTTTATTTTTTCAATTGGCAACACCTTTTACCTGTTGCTTTCAGAAGTTTAAGAGTACTTCAACATCTGCTGAAGACATAAATATGCTTTGTTTGATCCTTTTACTGTGACAATGTAAAGATTTGACTGGAAATGTTACTTGTCTGATTTAATTAATTTGAATGAGTTTACTTGTTATAGTTTTATGCAGGAACCTTTTAAATCTCTTCCACTTATATGGACCATCCATGAAAGAGCTCTTACTGTTCGCTCGAGACAATATTCATTGACCGGGCAGGTTGAGCTTGTGAATGATTGGAAAAAGACTTTCAACCGTGCTACTGTTGTTGTCTTCCCAAACTATGCCCTTCCGGTAATAGTTATTGGATAATCATCTGGTCTTCAATTCTTTGTCAGCATATTACTTTCTAAAGCCGGCAAAAGGACATTACTTCCCTAATGCTCTTGCCTCTAAAGTGGATTTTAATATGAGATTCATTTCTGGTGATTGGTTTTTTTCCCTCTTCCTTTTGCAGATGATCTATTCTACATTTGATACTGGAAATTATTATGTTATTCCTGGTTCTCCTGCTGATGTATGGAAAGGAGAGAGTGCAATGTATTCGTACAAAGATAATAATCTGCATACGAGTATGGGTTATGGACCCGATGAATTAGTTATAGCGATTGTTGGAAGTCAGTTTATGTACAGAGGCTTCTGGTTGGAACATGCACTTATTTTGCAGGCTTTATTACCACTTTTTGCAGACTTTTCATCTGATAACAGTTTTAATTCCCTCCCCAAAATCATCCTCTTAAGCGGTGATTCAACAAGCAACTACAGCATGGCTGTTGAGGTATGGTCATAATCACTTTATACTATGCCGTGCAGATGTAGTTTTCGAGCTTCTCTTAATCCATTTCATATATATTTCTTTTTTTTCCCTAGAAAATTGCTCTTAACTTAAGATATCCTAGTGAGGTGGTGAAGCATGTAGCTGTTGATGGAGATGTTGACAGTGTTCTTAGCGTGACTGATCTTGTGATATATGGCTCGTTCCTGGAAGAGCCGTCGTTTCCAGAAATTTTGATAAAAGCCATGTCCCATGGAAAACCAATCTTAGCACCAGATCTCTCCAATATCAGGAAATATGTAAGCTTCTATGCTCTTTCATGTTCATCCATATTCTGGTTCATTTGGCAGATTACTGACTTTGCGTTGGCAATAACAATTAGATCGATAACAGGGTGAACGGGTATCTTTTCCCTAAGGAGAATATTAGTGTTCTGATACAGATCATATTGCAAATGATATCAAACGGAAAATTGTCACCATTGGCACTGAATGTTGCTTCAATTGGGAGAAGAACTGTTAAAAACATGATGGTTAGGGAAACTGTTGAAGGATACGCCTTGCTGCTAAAAAATATTCTGAAGCTTCCATCAGAAGTTGCACCTCCTAGGGCTGTCATAGAGCTTCCTTCAAAGTTGAAAGAAGAATGGCAATGGGACCTATTCCTGGATCTTCGGAATTCTACACTCGAAGACAGGAGTTCCAAATTTTTAAACGACTTAGATGAGCAGTGGAAGCATTCTGAAAGAAAGAAATTAGGATCGTTAAATGCTATGAATGATTCATTTTCATTTGAGATTTGGGAGGAAGAGAGAAAGACGTATAGTATCAATATGAAAAGGAGACGAGAGGAACAAGAGGTAAGAAGTTGTTCTGGGAAAATAGTTGTTGCAAATTCAGTTCAACAATTTGTGGGGTCTTTGTTTAAGCTGTTACTTTATGAAGTTTAATACTCTTTCTAATATGTTGTAGTTGAAAGATAGAAATGATCAACCTCGTGGCACCTGGGAGGAGGACGTATATCGAAATTCGAAGAAGGCTGATCGTGCGAGGAATGATCTGCATGAAAGGGATGAAAGGGAGCTTGAAAGGACTGGTCAACTGTTGTGTATCTATGAACCTTACTATGGTGAAGGAACATGGCCTTTCCTGCACCGAAATTCTCTTTATCGCGGATTTGGATTGGTGAGTTATTGAAACATCATATTGGGGTTATGTTCTTGTTTTATTCCACTTACTGATTTACTTATAATGAAATATAAACTTATATCCAAGCAATAGGACACCTAAAAACTTGCATCCTGTAGTCTGATTTAACTGTCTGATGGGAGTTGCAGTCCTCCAAAGGTCGAAGACCCAAGATGGATGATGTTGATGGACCGTCTCGTCTGGAGCTTCTTAAAAATCCGTACTACCGAGACACTCTAGGTGAATATGGGGCTTTCTTTGCAATTGCTAACCGGATTGACCTTCTACACCGGAATGCCTGGATAGGATTTCAGTCATGGAGAGCCACGGCTAGGAAGGTATGGGAACACGTCCCGCAAAATACCTCAAATGTAATATATTTTATTCTTTTATTAAACACGTTTTCACATCTAATTGTGGGGTGGGAAACAGGCATCCCTGTCTAAAGTTGCCGAGACGTCATTGTTAGGCTCCATTGAAAAGCGCAAATATGGTGATGCTCTATACTTTTGGGTCCGGATGGACACGGATCCAAGAAACAGCTTGCAGCAGGACTTTTGGTCATTTTGTGATGCTATAAATGCTGGAAATTGCAAGTAAGAGCTTTAAAGTTTATCAATTATTTTCAGAGGCAAAAGCATGGAATTGTACAAAATACGTTAATGTATTTACTGTATGAACGTTTTTGCTCGTCTCTTTTACTATTCCATTGCAGGTTTGTATTCTCTGCGACTTTTAAAAGAATGTATGGCGTAAGTACTGGTTTAAATTCTTTGCCACCCATGCCTCAAGACGGAGGCACATGGTCTGTCATGCAGAGTTGGGCTTTGCCGACAAAGTCCTTTCTCGAGTTTGTTATGTTTTCAAGGTGATATTTACTGCACAATTCATGGTTTATCTGCATGACCCATTTAAACTATGCCGAAGTTTTAACTTGTCTTGTTTGCAGGATGTTTGTGGATGCATTAGATGCACAAATGTATGATGAGCACCATCAAAGTGGTCACTGTTATTTGAGTTTCTCAAAGGTAACTTGCTTATTTGCATCGATATTCCCTGTGAAGTATCTGTTTGTTGGACCATCTGAAATCACTCCGGGCCATTTACCGTTAAGGGTCTATAGTACGGTTATGAATGGAATTCAAAGTAGTGATATTGTTCTACAGGACAGGCACTGCTACTCACGGATGCTTGAGCTACTTGTAAACGTTTGGGCATACCACAGTGCACGGCGGATGGTGTATGTGAACCCTGAGACTGGTGTGATGCAAGAGTATCATACGTTCAAGCATCGGAGGGGTAAAATGTGGGTGAAATGGTTTGCCTTTAACACTTTAAAGGCCATGGATGAGGATTTGGCCGAGGAGGCAGATTCCGACCACCCTAAAAAACGATGGCTATGGCCATCAACAGGTGAGGTTGTGTGGCAAGGTGTACTCGATCGAGAGAAAACCTACGCAACCGACAGAAAGAGAAAAGGAAGCAAAAAAGCAAGGATAAACAAGAGAGGATGAGGCATAAACACCGTCAAAAAGCGTTAGGCAAGTATGTGAAACCTGTCCCAAATGAAGAAATGGAAAATACAAATTCAACTTTAGTAACATCATATTAATTTCATGTGTGTGTTTGCATCCATGTTTGTAGAATCTGAGTTGGCTAATTCTTTTAATTTTTATTTTTATTTTTGCTTCATGTAATTTTTTTTTCGTTTGTATGTAAGCTAACAGCATCCTTTTGGTGTTGATGAATGTACCAAATTGTGTACTAGTTTTATCTGCTGGAGATTGGAAAACATGTTCAAAATAAAATTAAGGTAGAAAATCTGGATTTGTATTATTATTTATTAATATTTTTTCGTAAGATAAAAACAGGCACAAATCAAATCTGGTTGGTTGTCTAAAAAGCTGGGATTTTTCACCCGAAAACACAGCAAACAGAGAAAATTTGAGTATTCACAGCTTCATGCCCTCAACCATGAGTATTCACAGCTTCCCACAGCAGATTTTTCGGAGCAGGGTTGCTTAGGTCCCTCGCCTGCAGTGCAGCAGTTCTTAAAGTCCTTATCGTCGACACATTCGCATCCCAAAATGACAAACTCTGGTAAGATAAATTATGCTTCTTGCAAAGATCCTTCACCACTGGAGAAACCTTCCTCAATTGGCACCGAGGCAACCTGGGGAACAAATGGTGCTCCAACTGGAATTGCAAACCACCAAAGAACCAATCCATCCAGGAAGGGCACACAATATCTAGTGTCCCGCTCGTTTGCTTCTCGAACCAGTCATTGCCACTCGGAGGTCCAACATATACATTCGCCGAGAAATGATTCAAACAGAACTGGATATGTTGAATCGACGTAACGGCGAAGCTCACGAGGACAAACATTAATCGTTCGGGCCAATTGGGTAGATATGAAAGCAAGAGAGGGAACCAAGTCCAAAACACAAGGATGCCGAGTATGTTCAAAGCTCTATCCGGGACTTGCCGGGTTGGTGAAAACAACAGCAAAAACGTTTGTAAATACAAGTTCAACCTGGCCACACACATAACAGGATAAAACGTCCAATGCTGGTAACTGATGAGAAACCTCGCCAGTGGATCGAAATTCAACTTCCGTCCGTAAAAGCAAGACGTTAGCGAATCGAAAAACAGGGACGATACTGCAAAAACGGGGATATGTTGAAGGTCGGGGTCGTAATCCAAGCTGTTGCAGGAGATGTGATGAGCATTGTGAGTCCATTTCCACCAGGCAATGCTGATTCCGGTCAAACAATTCCCGGTGATAATCTGAGCCAGCTTGTTGTAGCCACGGCTAGACATTACTTGATAGTGACCAGAATCATGACCAACGTACGTGCTTTGCATCCAGAGCATGCCCAATACCATAGCCGAACCCAAATGAGCCCAGAAGCTTTCGCATCGCAAAACACCGTAAAGAACAACGATGAACATGACGCCCACGGATGCTAACGAACAAAAGGCCACATGCCCTTTCTTTTCGAACAGACCCGTTTTGGAAAACTCGGAGACGAGCCTTCTGTAATCCCTGGAAACCTCCGAGACCTTGAAGCGCTCGAGATAATACCCGGTGAAGAACTCGTCGAGATATTGCCAAGCGGTTCCAGGGTGATAAGATATAAACGCGTCGGTAACATCCTGGCCGGCAAGATTTAAAAGCGGGATTTCACCGCCGGGGTGCTCTTTAGCCCAAACTGAAACGTCGTAAACTTTACCCTGGATTGAGATCCACAAATCTCCTGGCTTGTTGTGCTCTTTCAGCTCATTGGCGCTAATGTACTTCCTCTCCCCCTCCATTGATCCAAAAAAAGAAAACCCCGAAATGCAAATCGAGAAGAAAAGAGATTAACAAAGGGAAGAAGAAGGATACATAAATAAACCAACGTGCATGGGAGAAGCAATCCGAAGAATCCCACTTGCCATGTTTTCTGTGTGATGTATTTAACTGGGATTGAATTGTTCTCCCATTGCCCGGGGATTCTGAATGAAAAACCTTCAACCCCTATGCTTTCAACCGATTATTGTTTTGGTTTTTGGGGGTAATGGGTGTTATTTATAAATCGCTGGTTTTTTACGGACAATATTACCCCTTTTTTCTTTCTTCCCCCAAAAAAAACAATATTATTGACAAATTCTAATCCAAATATTGTGTAAATTACAATATATAAAATAACATATTTTATTATTATCAGTTCGTTTTGATAAACGCATGCAATAAAAAAATTGAATTCATGAAATGGATTTAATAATAAATAAAGTGTTATTCTTTAAAAATGCTTAATTCGAATAAATATACAGAGTGTGTATACATCGTCATCAAATTTTTAATTGTGTCTAATAGTTTCTATATTCTCCTTTGCGTATTATGTAATAACAATTGTAAATGAACATATCAAGAGTTTTATTATTTTATTTAAAGCATAAACACTAGTCATTAGTTTCACATTTGTTTCGTTTTATATAATTATATTAATACATATTTATTTCTAACGATTTGATAAAATCTATATTTTTTATGATGTAAATTCCAACAACAACATTTATAAAAAAAAAAAATTTGATTATATCCACACTCCCTGTATTAAAAAACATTGACCAATAATAATAATAATGAACATATCATAATGAGTTTCTCTCCATAGTTCATTAGTTTGTCTTTATTTTTTTAATAAGTATAATTATGTCTTTGTGTAGCATATTTATCTCAGCCTTTTTGAATCGTTTTTCATATTCTTCTCGGTCGTTTAGCCGTTCTTTTATTTATGAGTTTCTCATGGTGATGGGCTTTGATTTACGATTCTGGTGGACTTTTAATAGTTTAATTCTCTTTTTGGTTCGTTTGCCGATGTAATCAGATTTATTTATATCTATTTTTTTTTGAGTCTTTGGGTTGAGTTTTTAACCTTTTCATGTATAATCCTTATATGATCTAAAGTGGCTAGTTTCAGTGTTATATGAAAAATTTCATCCAAATTATGTATTTAGTTTACTATGATAGTTGTGAGCTCATATTTTAATTTCGAATATTTTCACTTTTTGATAATACTAGTGGCTTATATTAAAAAAATATAAACAATATATTAATTTAAAAGTTTGTCAATAGTAATTACTTGAAAATATGAAAATTTGATGCTTGAAGTTTGGAAAAGAAGAAAAAAAAAAGAGATAAAGATTCAAAAATTTTAATTTATACAAAAATACGAAGTGAAAAATAAATGTGATATGTACTTGTCTAATTGAATAGATATCATAAATGAAGTGGTAAACACAATTCATTAAATAATTTTTCAAAGGATGACATTAGTTAACATAACATTTAAGACGAAATATCCGTTTGGTTTTGAGATTTTTTTTTATATTTTAAAAATAATTTTTATTTTCAGTTTTTTTTTTTTAATTTTAAAAAAATATATTTGATTAATATAAATGAAAGTTTGAGTCCAAAAATAAAATAGTAAAATTATAATTGTAAACTATTTTTTTAAAAGTAGAAATCAACAAATAGTCATTAAATAATTAAATTAAATTATAGTTGTTAAAAATTTCATTATATAAATTTAATATGTGAGTCATGAAAATATAAAACAATAAAGTTGATAAGAAATTTCATAACACAATTTATTTTAATTTATAATAAGAATATAATGTTAATGTATATTGGACACATGGATGGACCGAGAGGGCGGGTGGGAGTAGTTGACCCCTGAAAATTTAAAATTGTCATATATTTTATATTTTTTCTATGGACCGAGAGGGCGGGTGGGACTAGTATAGCCCATGAATATTTTTTCCACTAAATTTGACCTTTAAACTTAGAAATTAAAATTAATCTAACCATTTGAACAACACAATCAAATGTTGGCCATTAACACAATCAAATGTTGACCATTCACGAACTTACATGACAATCTATAACACTGATGTTATAGTTCACGATACTATTGTGGCGATATACGTTGGACGATGACGTAGTAGATGAGTTTAATTGATATTTTTGCTAAATTCGAGGGTGTCATTGATTTTTTAGAAAGTTTGAGGACTTGTTTTTTTTAAATAAAAATTATTTAAATTAAAAATATAAAATATAAATACTTATTAAGATATTCAATACATTAGATATAAAACAATACAAAATTAAATTATTAAACAAATTCAATTTAAGGACTATAAGGAATCACATTGATCTTTTTTTTTTTGCAAAAGTTTGAAGATTTTAAATACAATTAGATCAAAAAATTATTGTTAGAACGATTTGAAAATGTATAAGTTAAAACTCTAGATATTATGTTTTCATATTTTTTAAAATTTTAAAACAATTTAAATAAAAATTCTGAAACCATTTTTTTATATATTTTAATTTACAAACAAATATTTTTTTTCATTATTTTTTAATTTTTAAAAAATAAAAATACAAATAACTCATTTCGGATCATAAATCTTAAAATTTGGGGACATTGAACATTTTATAGTTAATTTCAAGAAACACATCCCGAGCCCAAGAAAGAATATCAGGTACATAGTGGATATTTTGGTGGGCCGACTCCACGTTTATAAAGCATTGGCCCATTGCATGTGCAAATATCTCTCCACTAGCAATCCATCTGTGCTATGAAAACGACACACGACCACTCATTCAGATCATCAATTTCAATTCCTCAAAAAAAAAAAATCATGGTCTCCTTCTTCATCATCTGTCCCTAAGTTTCAAAGAACGTAAATTGCTGCAAATTGTTTATTTCGAAATTTAAGTTAGGAGATTGTGATTTATGAAATAAATCCCTACACTATATTGAACACCCAAAGCATCCAAGTATCCCAAATTTTCCTGTTCCTCACCTAACTAAAAATGAAAGACAATAGCACCCGAAAGTCACCCGGATCTTCTTCGGTCGGCACCGAACTGAGATAAAGGCACGACTTCCGAAAACGGCGTGTAAAATGGTGTCGGAAGCGGCGAGTTCCGGCAAACGGGACGAGACCCGTTTAGTTTCTACCAATGATCGATGCAAAAGACATGGAAATGATGTCTACGCTCGGGCATCATTCTTAGCATCTCCGAATCCTTGTACTCGCACAAGCAAATCGAACACGTGGTGTTGAAGTTCGCAACGGCCGACGCTTTACTGAAGTGGAACTTCGGGTAAGAATTTATAACGGCCTGGTCGAGTCCAACGACGATGTTCTCACTGACTTCATCTTCGGCGACGAAAAACGATTCTCGGGAGTACGATTCCATCGGAGTTGGAGGCCGCGGTGCTTGGATTGGGAGAGAAAGCGCGAGGAGAAGAGGAGGAGCGACGGCAGATGTAGGAAGCGAGGAGGACGAGGAAACCGACGGCGATGACAATGGAATAGCCGAGCCTAAATTGGTGAGATAGTTAGAAGGAGTGGATATTTGGAAGGATCCATTTGGTGAAGGGGAAAGAGAAGAGGAAGAGAAAGTGGGTAGCTGCTGCTGTATTTATTGTGGCTGTGGTTTCACTTTCATTCTCGCCTCCTCGGGACTTCTTGTTTTCATTTCATCTTCTTTTTCTCGTCTAATTCAACTTATTTGAAAAATCTAATGGGATTATGCCTTTTTTCTGAAACTTGATACAGTATTACAGTATAGCCAAGTTAAACAAAAACTTCAATAGCGAAGAAATTATAATCATACCATAACTCCACCTATCCATCATTATTATCTATGCACATCATATCTATATATGTATGTATGTATACTACATGGCAAAAACAGCTTGAACCTAGAGATCAACCTTTCGCTTGCACTTCTGCCCGTGAATTGCTTGACTGGTGATGTTAACTGTAAAGGTGCAATTCATCTTCACCGTAACATGCGTCTTTACAATGCTCAGCATATTGATCCTTCCTCTAATTCTCGAGTAGCTACTCATGGTCAACGTCCTCGAACCAACATCCGCAACCAGATTCGGACTGGCCAACAACCGATCCGTCACGATATCGACACTAATATTCATCTGCATCGTGCGTCGGGCCTTTGCGCTTCCCCCGGGGCCTCGGGCGTCCCCGACAACGGTGCCATAGTAGTAAAGAGTCGTGGTGGTGTTCCTGTACTTGAACGACGCTATGTTGGGATTTTTGACCGAAACATCGGCCATTAAGGATATGTTGGACCCTGGTCTAGGAATCGGAACTGTGCTCGTACCATTGATTAGCTCCAGGTTTGTAATTGAAACGCCGTTCAATTTGATGATCGGATCCTTGACTCGGAACACCGTGAAGATCAAGACTGTGATGACCACGGCTAGGATGATGATTAGAGCAGCGATGCAGCTGCAGCATTTGATGAATTTCTTGCGTTTGACCTTTTTGAACTGCGAAGCGGCTTCTCCGTCGTCGCTGCTTCGAGTGTTGGCGGCGGGTGCCAGAGGCCGTGCTTCGTTTCTTCCCACCATGGCAAAGGAAAATGATGGGGTGATCGGCTCAGGCCATTTGGGGGTTTTATAATATTTTAGTTACGTGAGTGGAAATTAAGTGGTATACTTTTGTTTGTTTCAAATGATTCTACCTGTTAAACATGTTTTTTTTATTACCTAAGGTTTCCAAAAGATCCCTTCATAATTAAAACCTAAAAAAATTTCTCCAAAAAAATTTTCTCGAACAACTGACATTTTAACAATCTTTAAAAAATAATAATATAACTTCTCACGGACTCATCACACGACATGTTAGAACTGAACTTATTAACAATCGATTATATTTATTATGTCTATCAACTTACAAGAGTTCATACGTTTGACATTAATACTAAAATTTTGCCATCGACATTAATCTGAAGAGTGCATTATCTCGTGAATTAATTTCTTCTAAAATATTATCTCGAAAGTTTTGCCTATTGAATGTTGATGGAAAAATTAGTAGTTTAAATACTAAAGTGAAATAAAACGAAGTTTAAATGTTGAATTCTAAAAATCAATACAATTCAAGGCTTAAATAGTATTTCTTTTTTCAGCAATCTTAAAATACATAACTAACAAAGAGTAAAATACACAAATAATTTCCGATTATACGACGTTCTATTATTAAATATTTAACTATTAAAAAATATGAAATAACCTTCCAATTATAAAATATTACTTTATAAATTGATCATTCGATTATTAACACGTTTTTAACTCATTTTTTTGTTAAAAATTAAAATTTTTACAAACTTGACATTAATTTACTGATTGAAATATGATAAAATTTAATCTCATAATCATTTAAGTCATACAACCATTTGAAATTCTAAAATTAAATATTATTATATCTCAATTAATAAATTATCATTTAATTTAAATAACTACTAAATTTTAACGAAAAAATGAATTTAAAATATAAAAATAATTAATTGATTATTTCAAATAACTTTTCGATACTCCAAAATTTAACAAAATAGTATAATCTAAAAGATCAACAAAATATCACTTTAAAGTCAACAAAATATCACTTTACAATCGTGAAATGTACTTTACCCTTAAATAAAAAAGCTTTTCAACGATGCCAAAATGTTAGTGATACCAACACTTGAAACAAGTTTGGAATTCAACGGACAATATCCCACGGCATTGACGATTAATTAACCTCATCATCATCATCATCATCATACATGATTCCGAGTGATCCAACCACCACTCACATCTTCTTCGTATTTTTGCGTGAATTAATTTCCTTTCTTTTTGCTATATATTTCGACATTTGGCATGAAAAATGGACAAATGAATTAAACTAACAAAATTTGAACAATAAATAATTAGAGGGAACTAAATTTAAAAAAAAAATCATTTGAATTATCGAATTTTATTAGAGCCGACTTCATAGAAGCCGCCCTTCGATGAAGAGAGTATCAATTTAGAGTTGGCCATTTATCCAACCCAATGACCACTTAGGTTCTTAACCCTGAGATCGTGGGATCGAGTCCCATAGAGGATATTTCATAATTTGGAGGTCTCCTACGAAAACTGCTCTCAACCTAATGTTGGAGCACCCTATTATCTTACCTCCCCTTACCCCATTATATATAAGAACAAGGGACAATGACCACTTAGGGTACCTTCTTCCTAATCAAGCTTCTAGATGAATTTTGTGTTCGTATTACAAAGTTGTTGTATTCTCTTCTCCTTGTTCTGTTTGTTAAGGTTTAACTGATGTCTGATAAAAAAAATTGCCATCAACTCTGTTCAGCAATATGGCAGAGGATACCGTATTAAAAGAAACAACTAAATACTTCCATTCGTCCTTCATATTACTGCATAGCTAGAGGGGAAAGCATACAAGTTTTTCAGCAAACTATGAGTATGTGTGTGAGAGAGAGAGACATGATAATTAATTTACTTCAAAAGATGTCACTAAGAGCAGGAAGCTTGATCTCCCCCTTCTTAGAAAGAGGGATAGTGGAGTTCCCTATGATGGGAAGATCGACGGTAAGACCAACCCCCAATTCATAGTCAATATCCCAATCTCCGCCAATATCCCTTGCCAAGCTTAACAAGATGTTATACGGCACCTTCATGGCCACGCCCAGCATCGTCGTGTCGTCGGCTTTCAACGACCCCGGGTCTGGTATTGTCCCCGATGATATCTCTCTGTTTCCCAACACAAACGGTCAAAATCAATTCCCAAGAAAAAGGAAAAGATCAAAAAGAGGGGATCATCAAACAAACCTTCCGGCACTTTTGAAAGTGTAAGAGATCTCACAAATGGGGATGGAATGACTGTAGGGGTTGTTCACGGAGACTTTAGCCAGATACTCGATGTTCTAACGGCTCACGTGTTTCAGATCAACATCGGTAACATCGGCTTCTGGCTTCTTTATGTCGGCCACCTTCTCCGCCACGAAGTTCTTAGCTTTGTCCACCAACTGCGACATTCCTGTACCAGGTAACTCGAAGTGTTGTAGATTTTGGATAGGTTGATGATCTGACGATGATGTCTGAGTTCCCAGGTTGTTAGTTGTTTTTTTTTATATGGGGGCGGGAGGCATCTGGGTTCGTGCCACGTGTATTTGGGACTGGATTGCTGGATCTGTTTACAGGAAACACGTACGAGAGAGGATGGATATCTCTGGTTCTATCCTTTTCCTATTTAATTCTTTCTTTAACATGTCACACGTTTTGTGGTAACTCTAAAAGGAGGTGGCATTTTCCATTGTTGATAAGCTTTTCAGAGGGTATTCTTTTAATATAAAACTTAAACAATATAATTGTCTTTACCGTTCACTGGTTCAAAACCCTAATCCAGTCTGATCGACTCAGTAGTCTCAAAGAAATTGAACAAGTTCACTTGTTCTGCAACTAAAACATAAAGGTAATACAACCACGTTATCTGTTGCTCAACAATGCACACAGTCAAGGCTCTGACTAGGAACTCAGAACAAAGGCTTCTTTCCGTTGAGCATCCCCATTAAGTGATCAAAAACTTGCCCACCTGCATCGCGTAGCCCTGAATGCATGTATTCATTAGTTACCCATAACCTTATTCCTGCTATCTGAGAAGCTGTTTCCATCACCAGCTTGAAGTTGACATACATATCCTCGTAATATACGGCAGCCGCTACCGGTACCTGCTTGCATTTTCCATAATTAGTAAAAGCATTACTACCTGATTCCAGATGAAGTTTGCAGAAGGAAAAAAAATGCGGATACTATCGTCTTCGTACCTTGTTATCTTTCAATGCAGTGATATTGTACAGTGGAGGCCAATCTTCCTTCTCAGCCAATATATGAGTGGCCTCTTTGAAAGGCCTCAAAGCTTCACTTTCATCAAACATCCATGGATATATCATCTGCGGAAATTTAAAACCACATGCATCAACTAGCAGCTTAATTTCTTTGACAAAACCATCGCAGAAAACTGCACTCGGAAACTTGATTTGTAGGCCACAAACTACACCTTAATTGTCCAGAGCCATAACAGTCGTAGAAGATTTGAGGTAAATATTCAATTTTATAATATCATCACCACTCTGATTCTTCGAAATGCAAGGGGATACAATGTTCACTTTAACTTATGCATCAACTTAGAAAAGGTTTAAATGTTTGACATTATTTAAAAAATAAGAAAGACTCGCAATAACATATAATTATTACCTCAACAGCTATTTGGTTTACTAAATACACGGGAGTCGATAACAGTCGTAGAAGATTTGAGGTAAATATTCAATTTTATAATTCATCACACTCTGATTCTTCGAAATGCAAGGGGATACAATGTTCACTTTAACTTAGCATCAAACTTAGAAAAGGTTTAAATGTTTGACATTATTTAAAAAATAAGAAAGACTCGCAATAACATATAATTATTACCTCAACAGCTATTTGGTTTACTAAATACACGGGAGTCGAGGTATCCGATATGTCAGTGCTAGTCTCTAAAACTGACCAAGATATCTACAGTGCCAGCATTGCCTGCATGCCTGGAAGTTGAAACAAGCAAGCAATGGAGCCTCACTCTGTTATGAAATGGATGTAGATGATAGAAGGGGAAGTCTCACATGCGGCAACCTTAATATACGGCTAAGGAAATGCGCTACCGATTTTATTATTATTTTTTAACATTTCCAGTAAAACATTACCGGAAACATTATTATTTCTACCGGTTTGGTTAACATATCTAGTAAAGTGCTACCTAAAATATTATTTTTTTCTACCAGTTTTGTTATTATTGGGCACTTTACCAAAAATGTCAAAAATCATTAATGTTTTAGGTAGAAATAATAATGTTTCCGGTAATTTTTTTACCGGAAATGTTAAAAAAAATAATAGCAAAACCGATAGTGCCTTTCCTTAGCCGTATATTAAGGCTGCCGCACGGTAGAATTTCCCATGAAAGAAAGGTATACAAATATCTCCTATGTCTAGGTGAATCTGCTGGGTTTTAACTTATTTGAAACTAAATCACAAAAGGAACCGGGTTTTCAAAAAAAAGGTTTGAGCTTGCTTACAGATCTTCACTTCAAGCCTACTGATTATTTATCAAATAAACTTAAATATTTTAATGTAAGTTTGTAGTTAGTCATCCAGAAAGTACGATAGTATTACTTCCCCCGTAAAAAGTACGGGGCGTCCTTCTTTTGCAGCCTTGATTGCATTGAATTTGTTATCATGATCAGCCCTTACTCTATGAGCAGACCACCGCGAGGAAGCACCCTTTAGAACACAACATAATTAGGATAAAGTTCAAATAGCAACCTAATTGATACAAAGGATTAGCTTGTCTGAATAAATGTGCATTTGCAACTTAAGCTAAATCCAACTTGTCAAGATTTTGCTAGGTGAAAATTGTTTAACCAACAACCACAAACACTTTCACATTTTTTTTCCAATTCTTAGAGGTCATGCTCAACTTTACAAACTATCCCATTAAACACAAGAAAGCAACAGTCTATAGAACATGGAAGCTTACCTGACAATATATTGACTCATGGAGAATTGCATAAAGTGGATTTGTACCAAAAGACACCCATGTTTCATACTGCGTGTAAATGAATTTAGATATATCCATTAGATAGAACCTCAATTTGTGATCAATAAGGGGAAACTGGTTTTCCTTACAGCATTTAAAAAGTATGAGCTAATCTGCTTAGGTGCTCCTGGAACTAAAATTGGATCCCAGACCCTCTCAAACCTGAAAGATGAAAACTAAAATATAATATGTTGCACAGCATTAATTTACAAGTTCTGAAGGATGGAACTAAAACGTATGAATTACAATGTCTTACAGATAATGCAATCGTTCAAAACCTGCGCTTGATCCTAAACCGGATAAACCAAGAAATTGCAGCCCCCTGGGGGTTAAGATTCCCCCAGATGGAAGTTGTACCTGCAGAACAAGGAAACTTGAAGAAATGTTTAAGATAAGATTTTAGCTTTTAGGTAGGATGACAATATCAAATGAGGAAGACCATCACCCCGCCTCCTTCGGATTCTGCCAGAAAGGTAACAACATCTTGGACAATTTCAATATCCTGAGGGAACCTCTTATAGTATTTTTCATTCTGATGAATAAGCCGTTCAATGCAAGCTCTATAAACAGAATCTGCGGCGCATCCATCTCCAATTGGAGGTATCCCTCCTGTTAGAAGCACTTATTTCAAACCTTGGGGTGCAAAACTCAGATAAGTAACTCCGCAAAAACCACCATAGCTCTACACAATCAAGAAAACAAAGGATAAGATAACAGCATGGTGATATGCAAAATGTAATTAAGCACAAGCACAATAATCAAGAACAGTTATAAAAAAATAATCAAGAACAGAGATTTAACTATAGCACCTGACCTAAAATGGTCCAAGGCTTAGCTTCGGGGACGAGACGAACTCGGATGAATTCAGCGTCGTTGACGATGTTGTCAGCTCGGAAATGTGTCAAGTAATCAGCAAGCTTTTGGGCAGACTTTATTTGCTGCATAGAAGATGGAGTCAAAGGGGTCGATAAACCTGTTCCTCGCTGAAATTGAAAGTGGAAAACATCAAGGGTTTAAAGTATAAACAAGCACCGAGTTTCAAAATAAACATCTTTCCATGAAACCATGCCTGATCCATCAATATAACCCGGAACTCTTCGCATGCTTTAAGTATCCATCCACTGCCTTCAGTTGGTCGAGGGCATTCAAAACCAGGCCCTCCTTGAAGGAATAAAAGGTATGGCATTGACTGCTCTTCTTTCCCAACTGAAATCCAATTCAGCGTTAGACATAACTTAAAAACTTTACAATCAGTTGATTTTCACTTCGGTATACCAACATTGGTTTTTGAGACCCAAGCTAAAATGAAATAGATGTGAACCAAACAGTGATTTATTTAGAAAATAAATTAATTAAACAAGATTGCCTAAATTAAAGTTTAAGGGGAAGTAGTACGATTACCAGCGACGACTTCGCGAGCGAAAACGGATATCTTCGAAGAAGCATCACGATTTTTATAATCGAGAGGGACCATAAATCGGTGGTCCCGGAGTCGGAGGTCTGGCACCGAGAACCAGTTCCCGGCGACGTGTTCCGGCGTTGAATGACTAGTGGCGTCGGATTTGGACACGGACATGGTGGCGATTGCACGAGTTGAAGTCCGGCGTAGAAGAAAGCGGCGGAGACTTGCGGATTGGAGTGGCGAGAGAGTCGGGAAGATAGATGATGAGAAAGACAAGTTCAAACAAAAGAGGGGCTTTATCAAGGAAGGAGACGCGTGAATTTTCAACATTTTCAGTATAGTTAAGGCTGCGATGCATAGAATTTTTAACTCATAAGGAATGACACGTGGGTTTGAGTTGGATTTTTTTCATAAACTTAAGCCGTTGGATGCCAAGACTTACATGATTACTTCAGATCTTAACCCTTGATGGAAACTGAACATGCCTGCTAGAAAAATGAACACTACACCACTCAAAGCACTCAGTACTCATCCGTCTTCTTAAACTCCAGCGGTCTTACTACCTCCTCCACCGTCAACTCCGCGCAGGAGTTAATCTTACGCCACCATCGCCGCCTCCACAAGTGGATGAGTTCAGATCCTCCTCGAAATCCCGCGCGAAGAAATCGGTTGCCGCGTTGAATTCGCCATCACAGTGCTCGATGAAATGCTTCAACCATTATCCGATGTTCGACCTGATGATGTTACTGGGGATATTATTTTTTATGGGTTTTCGAATAGAAGTAGAATAGGAGTGGACTTGATTGAGGAAGAACTCATTAAGTTGGTTTTACAACTTGGGATGCATGGTGTTTTTCCAAATACAAATTGGCTAACCCATTTGATTTCTAAGTCATGTAGAAGGGTGAAATTCAATCAAGCTTGCAACTTGTTGAATGAACTGCCAAGACTGCAAGCGCCCCTTGAAACTCCTCCTTTCAATGCACGTTTGACCGGTTTAGGGAGATGTAGAGATGTTAATGGGAAGAATCTCAATGCTAAAAGGCAATGTGATTACTTACACTACTCTAATTACTGCTTTCTATAATTGATTGATCTGTTTGCTCAAATGTTGTGAAGCGAATACTCCGCTGATGTTACCATTTACCATAACTCGATCTATGGTCTATGCAGTCAGGCGGATGGATGATGCGGACAGTGTTTTGTTGAAGTTTAAACTAGGTGGCTTCTGCCCTGACATTGTATGCTATGATGCTCTTCTTAATGAAGATTCTAACAGAATGAAAACAATATAAAAGCTTCAAACAAGGAAACAAGGTTTCTGCCTCGACTGCATGAAATGGCTGCGAGATAAAGTTCGTGTTATCAGATTGTTTAGTGTGATGAGCCAATCACCGTCATCTGGAAATGAAAGAAACCAGAAATTGCTCCTTGTAACTAAGAAATCAAGAACCTATACAAGGAAGGTAATCGAAGAGATAATGATGCTGATGAATTAGTGATCAATTTCTCACTTTATTTGTATCTGAAAAATACTAAATACAAGTTCATAAAAGTAATACTTCTCCTAACTCTAGCTTTTTTTTGTTGTTGTTGAAATCCTAACTCTGTAGCTAACTTACCAGAAACAGGGAACTATTTTCCTGGACTCGTTAATGGAATCCTATAAGGTACTGAAATAGTAAAATAAATGCGTTGTTGGCTTTAGATTCTAGCATATCACAAAGATACGGTTCCAGGGAGATATTTACAGGCCAACGGCGGCAGTAGCTGCATTGTTGGCAATCCAATGGAGGTCAAAACTTGGCTGAAAACTATCAGAAAGGCAAATTACGGTAACCGTGTCAGCGAGTCCTTTTAAACCGTCGAAGAAATCATCGCTCACTGCTGTGTCCGACATCACAAAATCATCTTCCCCTTCATCTTAAACCAAATCCTCTCTGCTCCCCACCTTTGTACTACTTTGATCCACAAGCTCTTCATCCACGGAGGTCGCCGGAGACGAGCTGCTGGAAGGTTTGGCTGATGACGGTTTGATGGAATTACCGGCAGTGACAGTTTGTGGGTTCAAAGGCTTCTGACGAATGCTGCGGGCGAGTGAATTGCGGTGCGCCGGAGCAGGGTGGTTATGTTCAGCTGTGTATGTGACTATGAACATGGACGGGTCGGATCTGTTTCGTTCCACTTGTTTTCTGGCCAAACATCCCTTTGAAGTGCTGCATTTGTAATAGCCCCTGTTATTCATCGAAGAAACAAACAATCGAACTTTAATCAAAATATCCAATCAAAGAGAAAAAAAACAAGCTTTTTACAAATCCAACATGAAAACAGACAAATTGACATGGTTTTGTCCTCCTTTGTAAAAGAGTTCACCTTGGATATGGAGAGCCTTTGATGGGTTTCTGACCATATTTTCTCCATGCCCACACATCTGAAGAGAGCCCTTCAGCAGGGACTTCGCAAACCTTTTTTAGCTGGTTCTTTCTGTTATAATGCGAATCAAACAACTTCAATAAAATCGGGGGGAAACTGGGAAATTTCCCGAGATGGGTTTCCGAAATTATCTAATTGATAATTTTTAATTTACCTTCTTTTAGATCGAAAATTATTAGAATTGGCAGTTGCAGAATTGTTACTGGCTGCCGTAATAACGCCAGTAACAGAGCCAGCGTTAGAATGCTTTGGTTGTTGTTGTTCTTTGGACGAGTCGATAGAAGAAAGCAAAGATAAAATCGTGATTTGCGGTGAAAGCGGCTGAGATTTGGGGAAGAAAGATTTGTATAGTTCATGCAAATCTTCCATGGAATTTCTAGCTTCGAACTGGTTTGGAGTAGACAAAGCATGACCCTGAAAAGCTTCTTGACCACCAAACGAAGAAAAGCAAGACCGAGGGCACATATCCGCCATAAAATAAAAGGTTGCAGAACCAATGGTGCCTGTTGTCGCGACGGCGGCGCAGCCTCTGACTACCGCATGCAAATCCCAATCAACATCCATGAGATGAGTATCGTTTTCTCTCTGTTCCTGAATCCGCAGTTGAGCTGATTCCTCTACCGAGTAACTGGTAAAAAAACAGGGAGGAAGAAAAGACAAAACAAGGCGCTGACTTTTTAATATAGATTGTGTCAGAGTGGAATTTTGAAATTATGTACTTATATTGTTAATTAAGATGAATGTTTAAGCTACCTTAGTTTAATTTAAGACTAAAGAATAATAAAAAAAAGAATACAATCGATATTATAAAAATTATAATATTTCTAGTTGGATGAAATTTAAAATATTATTTTTTAATATTTTTCAGTTATATATCTTTTTTATAATATTTTTTATTGATAACAAAAAATATATATAATTTGTCCTAATACTATAATAATTTTCACCATTCTAATACTAATTACATTTGCCCTATATATTATAATGGAACATTTGGTTAGGGATGGACATAGGATCCGAACCCAACAGGTTTCGATCCGACCTGATCTGGTCGGTTTTTTTAAAAAAATTGGGTTCGGGACGGGTCGTGTTTTTTTAAATATGATGTTCAGGTTAGATTGGATTCGGATTTAGGATTAAAATACCTGACCCGAAAAATATAATTTTACCTTATATAATTAAGAATAATTATAATAATACATCTATATATATTACTTTTTCCAATTAAATCACTGTTTTTATTGAATAAAAATAATATTTTTTTATTATTTTGGGTCGGGTCGGATTGAGTTCAAATTTTATCTCAAAAATTCAAGTTGGATGATGGGTATATATTTTTCGGGTTGACCAAAACTCGACCCAAAGCCGGGATTCATCCCTACATTTGGTGGTACGTAGAATGTAACATTATTTGACGTTCCACTAAAAATATCAGATATTTTGTTTGATATTTTTAACATGAATGTAATATTATATTATTTGGCGGGTGGAATATAATATTATTTAAATATACATTTTATCAAATTGTATATATATATATATATTTTTAACAAGATAAACTTAACATAATATTTTGTTTGAATAATACGCGGCTATTACAAAGTATTATATGTTCGAAATATTTTTTAACCATTAACAATATACATAAAATTATAAACATAATTATTTAAATTCGAATCTGATATTCACTTTTATGATCGAGGATTCGAGGTTTTCAATAAATTCACCTTCTTATATATAAAAAAGAGGGTGGGAATGCAAGAAAATAAATTGGGCCCATCAGTTATTTTATGCAGGTTTTGTTGGCCCAATAACCCAAGCATTTTAGAGATTATTTTCATTTTTCTCAAGAAAGAGAGAACAATTCTTTTACATCCCTTTCTTCTCCGTCTTAATCTTTTCGTATTCAAAAGCAAAACGATCAGAGAATTTACTGTCAAAGAAAATGTGGCTGCCTTTCATAAACCCTAGCCCAGATGATTCTCTAATGTTCGTTTTCTTTATTTTTCTTATCAACATTCCTTCTCGCGTTCCTTTCTGTTTTCGTAAATTTCTTATGTTTTCTTTCTTAGTGTGGTGTTGCTGTTCTAGTGTACGCAGATCGAAGAATTTAAACACTGCATCAGAAATTTTCGTTTAGAAAAAAAATATTCATCGAATTCAAATTCAAATTTTCGTGTTTAAGTTCATTGTTACCATTACCGGTTCAAAATCCGGTGTTTATTCGATTTTATTTCCTAATTAGAAACGTGCACGTGCCGCACGTGAGCTCGGTTGATTTCCCGCCTTCGTGGCTCGTTTTACAATTTTATTTTTCGAATTCCGCTCCAATTTTCTCCCCGATAAAAATGGAAGAGGAGCGAGAATTTAAAATGAGAATTTAGAGAGCAGCCAAGTAGTCCGAGAGAGAAACCGGAGAAATGACCGCAGACAACTCGTTTTCCAAAACCATATGCTCTATCTGCTACGAAGATCTGAAACCCATCGTCGAAGATCTCCAATCCATCTCCATTTGCGGCCATGTCTTCCACGAGCTTTGGTTAGTATTTATACACACGTTTCTCTGTTAACATTCAAATCGATTTATATTAAAACGTCGTTCCCCCCCTCCTTTTGGAACCGTATAGCTTGCAGCAGTGGTTTGAATACTGTTCGAGTTCTACGAAGAAGTACAATTGCCCTGTCTGCAAGCAGACATGTATTAGGCACAATGCGACTCGTCTTTATTTCCAATCAGTTGGAGATCAAACCCAATCGTTATGTTCCCAAAAATTGATCGATCGCGAGGAAGATGCCGAGTCATTACGCATCGAAGTGAAAAGGTTGCTAGTCAAAGTTTCCGGACTTGGTTCAGCTTTGGAACGTCAAGAGAAGGAACAAATTCACATCAACGAGGAGGTACATCTTGGCTCCCTTTTTGTATAAATTAAAATGGATTTAGAATTGAATTTTTCAATTTTTCAAATAATGTGTCTTCTGGTGTTTTAGCTGTGTCTTTGCAAGGAGCAGAAGAAGCGCGAAATGGCCTTGAAAAATGAGGCCTTAAGAGAAAAGGCGTCCATTCAACAAAAGCTCAGTTCTAAATCAGAGGTGACTATCATGTATACCATTAGAGAAAAAAAATTCTTTTACTGATACATTTAAGTGATATTGAATAAATTTTATTGGGTGGTTGTAATCTAGGAGCTTAGTAAATCAAATTCGGAATGTTCAAGGCTGGAGCAAAGGAATTTGGCACTAGCCAAGGAACTTGCTGTACTAAAATTGTGAGTTCATTTATCGTTTTGCTACTTTTATGTCAAAATGCCAATCAAGCCGTTTATGAAATACTACAGTCATATTAACTCAAAACACTCTAACTAAACCCAAAACAATTTCATTCCTAAACCATGGGTTGTCTCCTTTAGCCCCATGGAGTGTCTTTTCCATAATCCTTCAAACCTCCTCGCATCTTTCTTTCATATTATGTTTTAATTAGTGGTGTTTGCTGCTTATTTGTTTCTACGGTTTATGATAGAGTGGCAGATTTGGACCTGGAGCAAGATGAGATGTTAAAGCTTGCCTCTGTAGGTAATGAAGGGAGCAGCCAAGATGTTGTAGATAATCTTATTAGGTCATTGTCCTGTAATAAAAAGTAAGTTGGTTACCTTCACTGAAGTAGTCTATATGCTTATCTTTTTCAATCTATATTGTAGAAATCTAGCTGTGTTTTCTAACGAACTTTATATTTTCAATTAATTTTTTCTTGGTTAATTTGCTTATAAGATTTATCAATACATTTTGGAAGTTTAATAATGCTCATCATTGATTCTCGCTTGGCTATTGCCTATGAGCATGCATTCACTATAGGATGATTCTAATTTTTCCTCATAGTGGAGGAAAGCACTATCATATCCTATGCATCTCAAACACTGAAATATGTATTGGGTCATTGGATGGTGGTAGGCTAGTGGTTGGAACAAAAAGATAGTGGGGAATTATGATAGCATATCCACTCATCTTTCTCTTGACATCCAATTCCAAATGCACAGATATCGAAATGAGGAAAGAAAGATTGGTTTGTCCTGATGTTCTGGATTTGTTGTGATATTGGACATACTTTTTATTATTAATAACGACTTAAATTGCAGTAATTATCTTTTCCATTTTATTTTTATTACGGATCAGTCATATTTACTTGTTCACTTTAAGTTTTGACAATTCTTGAACTTCAACAGGAGTTATAAAGAATTGATGGCTAAGTGCAATCTTCTTGGTAGAGGTGAAGCTCGTTTGTAGAAGAAACTTGATAAAGCGAAAGCAAAGATAGACAAATTGAAAGTGAGTCTTCCATGAATAATTATGAATATCTTGTTCCATTACTTGTATCATATTACTGAAAAGTTCTGTTTTATTTTTTCATCAGAAAAGAGTCCAGGAACTGGATACACTGATTGAAGTGAAAGATAATGAAGTATTGAGGACTCTTAAAGCTTCTAAGACTGATGGTGAAGGGGTTGTTTTGATCGTGGATGGCAATTCTGATTCTTCAAATGCCAAAAATTCTTCAAAAGAACAGCTGATGCAAAGACCTGTTTTACCTTCAAATAACTTAGATGAAACACGGTAAAATAAGACTCCTATTCATTGTTAACCTGCCATCTAAGTCAAATGAGACGGCAGACTGATTATAGTTGATACCGAATTGCCATATAAAGAAGGGTGTCAAGGTCCACAAACCAATGGAGCAATTGGTTGAAACTCTTTGTTGACACTTCATTGGCCAGAGCCCAGAGTTCAAGCCCTGCTAATAAGTAACATAGTATCTAGGGTTCTAGTTGTATGCACAGGATTCTAGTTGGTTTCATTTATGGAATTGCATTCTGTTTAGGCTTGATAATTCTTATAGCATGATAGGGTAAACAATCAATCAGCTTAGACAATCCCCTAGGTTTTATCTTGTAGCATGAAAAACATATAGGTGTAGAAAGCTTAAAAATCTCATATTGCTATGTTTTAATGCAGCCAGCTGGAACTACTTGTGTGAATAATGCAACAAAGCCGAATGTAATTTGATCTTGTTTTATGGGTATGATGACGTGGGGTCTGTTGTTTATTTTCATGTTAATGAATTGGCCTACAGCGTAAAACACGGGAGCATGTGGGCTGTTGCCACTGGCTAGTATCATGAACTAGTTGGTTATGCTGTCCTGAACTTTCGGCTGGGCTCCTAAGTTTGACACGAGTCACGCCATGATTCGGTTGTTAAGTTAGATTGAAACACGGGTTACGCACTTTAGTGTTGCAAGAATTTCGATGGCCTTTACAGGGGCAGGTTTTGAAAAATGTAACTGGTGGTCCTGTGCTGAAACAATGTCTGTTTTGCTGTGCCTGAAATGCATGGTGGTGGGCTTTCCAAATTTTCATCGAAAACTCGTGGTTTGATTCTTTCTCTAGATTCGGACATTTGGATTTGGTTTGTCATTGAGATTAGTTATAGACCACGTATTGTTATAAAGACAATTGACGATTCCAGAACAAATGTTGAGGTTTAAAAAGAGGGTAAGGAAAAAAAAGATGTCGAT